GAGTGGTTCTGTTACCCTGGTCGTTGGCAATGATTTCCACTTTTCCATGCTGAAACACTCCCACGCAGGAGTAGGTGGTGCCCAGGTCGATGCCGATTGATAATCCTTTGACTGAAGACATCTTAAGTATCAGAAGTAGCCTCCTAAAACAAAATGAAACACAACTGAGGATTGTTTGGGGACATTTGTTTAAAACAGAAAATATGCTGAAAAACACTTAACCATCTGTGTTCTAAAAATAATTTCACCCACACAGGCTATCATTATCTAAAGTCCTTATTTGGCATTCGAAGCTGCAATCATACCTTTTCATTGTTAGCATAAGTGTTTTTCTAGCCCTGGCTAAAACCCTATAGCCTTCGTCCTCGTTACATTACTCTCATCTTATAAACGCGTTTTTTAAAATGTGACTTATCAATCGATTTTTATTAAAGCAGAATTACTAAAGCAAAAAGCTATTTTACTTTGTGTATATAAACATGCCATGATTAAAATATCGTTAATATGATACTCCCCCCATTTGTAAGTTTAACTTAAATCTGATAACATTAAACCACGTAACTTTCTTCGCTAGTACAGCGTGAGTAAAGCGGTAAGAACGCTTTTTAGTTGATTTCCATGACAATAGTGATTAGGGATGTTCTGCCTTCAAAGTCCTTCTGAACTCTGTGATTCCATCAAACAATTAAAAGCGTAACCACATCAAACTAGAAACGATGCAGTAATAATACAGAAGAAGCGCAGGGAGGTAAATATTTCTGTAACCATAAGCGTAATATTTATAAGAAGAACTGTCGCCCACAATGAAAGTCATAACAGTCTATATGTGTTTTAACATTTTGTTTTCATAACACTACTCTGCATTTATGTAACTTAAGTTTGAACTTACAGTCTGGTTAATTCAATTTTGTTATCCAAAGAGCTCAAATTATACTTACAGTCGTTATGTGTTGTGTTCTCCAGAAGTGGAAATCTGTGTTCCTTGTCTGCAGACCCCTCTCTTTTGCGCTCGCGTTTGCTCTCTTTGAACATGCATAGTAGCGGATATCCACGCTTATATACTCCGTTGCGGCGGTTCTCGAACTCTCCCGGCGCTTCGCGAAGCGGCAGAATGGTTTCAGCGTTATTGCAGACAGCAAACCTTCCTGACTGTCACCGGGAAGCCTTTCCTAATATGCTGCAAAGCGCATAGGGGGCGGGATCGAGCTTATGCCTTATCGGTAACAGATAAGAGGAAATCTGTGGAAATCTCTAAGGTCTAAGTAACTGACAAATGGCCGTTTACGTGCTTTTGGGGTTTGTATTTTTGTCCAGAGTTCTGAAATGAGCAGAAGCAACATCAATGAAATTCTTTGATATAATTATTTTTGTTCCTAACAACTTAGGTTCAGGCTCGGAGTGGCCCATCCGGAGACTCGGGAGAATTAGCTGTTGTGACGGTCAGAAACAAATAAAAATTAAATGTTTAAAATCGAAAGCAAAATAATTGTACAACTTTAAAATTCTACAGCAACGCTGCAGGGCGTTAACTAGCGAGTTTTGTCACGTGCGCCCCCCACACACACAGTAAACCACGATTGCTCTGCAGAGACTCGCGCAAACATGCAGCACGCGCGTCAATGAGCGAGCGCAGTGCGCGGTTGCGGAGGTTCCGCAATTAATCGCTTGCTATTGCTAATCACTACAAGTGTCTCAAACGATAGATGTTAGAAAGGGACCTGGCGGGGCTGAAACATTCAGACGCTATTATTATTGGTATTTATTTTCTTCTAAAAATGTCAGTAATTTAAGATAATAAGACTAGAATTGTGGCATCATTTATTAAAGTTCCCCCAGAAAGAAGATAATCAGCTGGTCTTGGACATAAAACTTACGGGCTGAAAATTAGTCCCACTCCATGCCTGTCCGGGGGTATTCCCTGCCTTGTGCCTTCAGTTTCTAGGATAGGTCTTGAAACTCCAGGACTCTGTAGTTAAACAAGTGAGTATAGAAAATGGATGGATGGACAGATGGATATGGATAGTAGCAGTGTGACTCAGCAGACAGCCAGTCACTTTTCATGTCTGTGACTGAGGGTTGAAATCTCATTCTGCTTTTTGTGTGCTTAACAATTCATTCCTTTTGGAAGACCAGTTTACTAAAATGTTTTTAGCTTAAAGAAATCTGGTGGATGTTAATTCCAACCTGATTTTTTTTTATGAATTTAGTTTTAGAGCAGATTTCATGCTGAAACATATATCTTTTACATTCTTCGTCTATATCTTAACTAATAGTTTTGTGTTATTTTGCATTCATTTATAAGGTATGTTTCTTTCGTACATCTCCCAGCTTCTTTAGATCTGGATCATGCATCCATCCTATATGAACATTTAGTCAACATTGGATCAAAAACAAAACAAAAATGAACAGGTAGGCCCTACATGAGAATACTTTTCTTCACTAACCCAATCTTGCTCCCCATTGCTTGGGAGTCACAGTGCAGGGTCAGCTGACATGCAGCACAGAGCTGGGGGTTACAGGTCTCGCTCAAGGACCCACAGACATGTAACTGTTCTACTGAGGCTGGGACTTGAACCAGCAACCGTCAGATCACAGGCACAGAGACTTAGCCTGCTGAGCTGCTCACTGCCTGGATCACAGTGAGCACAAGGCATGGGTCACCCTGGCCAGCTGCCAGTCTAACACAGTGCACATAAACACCTGTAATCACCAAACTTAGTGTAAACAGTTCACCAAATCCTTGGGCTTTGAAACGAAACCAGAGTAGCTGAATATATCCCAGGTAAACCTTGGGCTGAATGTTTAAACCGTACGTTCAATAGAATAGATAACGACATTTGGAGCATGTAAATATTGAAATGTAATATCCAAGCTCATATAAAGAATATTTACATTCACATTGCTGTAATCTTGAGATCGAATAGTAGCACTACGTTAGGATTAAACGCTTAATTTAGTCCTTACACTTATGTGTCGTAGAACTGACCAATTATGACGTTATCTGCAACTTGGAATCGTCACCGCTGAAATGGGATTTCTCGGAGTTTTTTTTATTTTTAGTATTTGTTGCAGGCAAAACCGCTCGATCCGCTGCCAAGTGGAATATTAGAATATATTGGTAAAATTGCGAGTTCAATAATCGTTTAAAGCCACCAGTGAAGAGACATAAGTAATTATTTGTATATTTTATACTACATAAACAATCACATATCAGTGCTCATTTTTATATCTTTTCTGAATTCAAGATAGTAATTTCTTAGGCAGGCGGTTAGTTAGGTCTTAGTAAAATAAACTTACAATTCAACATTAACGGTAAATAAAATCTGCGCCAATTATCAATTATTTTGTTTACTGCACAGGCTCTCGTTTACGTTATGCGCACCACGGCACGTCAGGTTTCCTGTCGGTTCTAGCCCGGTCACTGTATTTTTTCACGTGCCACGGCTACGACCACGGAAGCATGGCTGTGAGTTGCTCAAACCCCTGGTGCAGTCAACTTCACTGGAAATGAAACGAGCTCTCTCAGTATAACGCATCGACTTCGAGGTAAATGAAATGTGTTCGCCGTCCTTACGTTCTCTGCAAGAGCCTATACCAACACACATAAATGCGCACTGCGATGGCGTCACATGACGTGAGATTATCAACATGCAAATAGTTTGTTGATTTGGCCATTGCTTGCGTAAGAGCCACAGAAATTTTGAAAAATTACCAGCACTTACAAATATTTCGGAATTTGTTTAATGTTTCGTTACTTTTTGTGATCGCAGAGTCGCGAAATCCTACAGCGACAGTCACCAGGCTGTCTCTGACCCCGCCCCCTTCACCCGGTCTCGACCCTCGCTTTTCCAGCAATTTCGCGAAATGGCTCGTCGGGTCGGGAAACTTCGACGCGTTTCGTACCGCAGGTATGAGTCCGGCTGCTGCGCGATGAGCCGCGACAGTTCGAGAAGAGCGGCAGTCAGGTATATAAGAGTGGGAGCCGGCTGGCCGCCCCATGCAGACCGAGAGACACGGACCGGAGGGAAGGCGAGTGTGCGCACAAATAACCGTGAGAGAAGGCGGCAAATAACCACTGTAAGTATGATGACAGCGATTTTCGGAATATTTGGCAGGCTGTAAGCATTTCCATTGCGAATAATAGACGCGTTTCAAAGTGCCAAATGTAGAATAGCGTTATGAAATCAAATCTTAAAACATATTTATGTCAGAACTTTCACTGAAGGCAACAGAGCATTATATAAGTTACTGCTAACTTTTCGTGAATATTCACTGCGCTTCCTATGTATTTTTATTGCATTATCTTTGCAGTAGCTTGTCATTGTCCGTGCGAATCATAAATATAGCTCACAAGTACTTTATGGAAAATTAATAATTAGAGTATATATTCTACTGTTTTAAAATAAAATAACGAAATCGTGTTCTTGCCACTTTTCTGACTGTATGCGTGATTTAATGTTATCTGACAGGTGAACGATTAAGTCTTACAGTAAAAATCATCACATAAAAACATGTTTCTGTAATTTTTATTTATTAATAATTGCTTATTTTGAAGACACACAATAATATCAGAAAATAGTTTGATCATAAACATATTTCTAATTTTGAGTTTATGGTTTAAGTGTAACGTGTCATTTACAATATCGTGGATTAATCTTACTTCAGGAACCCCAACTAACATGGTTAATTGTTTTGTTTTATTTTTGTGTTTCAAGCAAAACTTAATTTTTCCCAAACATTACTCAGTTGTTTCATTTTGCTATAGGAGACTTAAGATGTCTTCAGCCAAAGGATTATCAATCGGCATCGACCTGGGCACCACCTACTCCTGCGTGGGAGTGTTTCAGCATGGAAAAGTGGAAATCATTGCCAACGACCAGGGTAACAGAACCACTCCCAGCTATGTGGCCTTCACAGACAACGAACGGCTCATCGGAGACGCTGCCAAGAACCAGGTGGCCATGAACCCCAATAATACCATCTTTGATGCCAAGCGGCTGATCGGCAGAAGGTTTGACGATCCTGTAGTGCAGTCCGACATGAAGCACTGGGCCTTCAAAGTGATCAGCGATGGAGGAAAGCCCAAAGTTGAGGTTGAGTACAAAGGAGAGACCAAGGCATTCTACCCAGAAGAAATCTCCTCCATGGTCCTGGTGAAAATGAAGGAGATTGCAGAAGCTTACCTGGGGCAGAAAGTGTCAAATGCTGTCATCACTGTCCCCGCCTACTTCAATGACTCCCAGCGCCAAGCCACCAAGGATGCAGGAGTGATTGCTGGG